AGGAATGTTAACCACTCAGCCACAGTGACATTTTCCCTATATCGAAATTCACTAAAATATCAAGTTAATGTATTCCACTTTTTCACTCATATAAAGAACACTAAAAACTAAATTTCTTCTCAAATATTCATATAATTTTAGTGAAATTCTTTGTTTTGGGAAATTAAAATATGCTCAGAGTTTCAGAATGAATAGATTTTTTTTTCAAGTTTCCACTCTATGAAAATCAGAAACACAATCAGCAAAAGCAAAACTCACTTGTGCTAGTGCGACTGAGGCACCTGGTCCAGTAGCACGAATACTTTGCTGACTCAGATTTTTAACACTAGATGTCATAAGCTGAGCTGAAACTGGAAGGACACAGAATGTCACAATATGTAACAAATGAACTGAACAAACCCACTTTCTGTGTATAAAAAATGTATATTGTGAAGCAGCTGTCATTCATAAAATCTTCTCAGGCTATCAGCCATGTCAAATGGTTAAACTCTGCCGACGTTTCGAGGACCATCTATGTCCTCGTCCTCAGGGCTATTCAGTGTTGATAGCCCGAGAAGATTTTTTTACTATGAAAAATGTCTTGAAGTAGTGGCATCCATAAACTTATATTTTTTTCCTCTTGTTTTATTGTTCTTTCATAGTGAAAAAAAGCATACTGTTCTCTATACGGTCAAGTCCAACTGAAAATTTTATAAATTTATATCCATTTCTGCCCTTTTCAAGATTTCTGTTGGTATAATGGCATACATTTGTATGTTTGATGACATAAACATAATGTTTATTCTTCTGTGCATCTCTTGTAGCTACATCAAAAATTTCTACTGCAAATGAAGGAAATTAAAACCATAAAACTGCAATAACCTGGAATATTATCATGTGTAGTTATATTTAACATAAAAACTTCAGATTGAGCTGAACTATGCGACCTTTTGTTAGATTGTAACTATATGAACAGTAACAATTTGGTTTACATTGGCACACACATACAGACATACATGTACTCTAATACCATGTTAATGTTTCATGTCTTACCAACAGGTAGAGAAAGCACAGAACCCATACCAGGGGTCGTATTAGTGAGCACCGTAGTTGAGTTAGAACCTGCCGGGCCCAAAGAGGAGGTAGCAGACACAGCGCTAGATGATGCCATCTGTTGGAAGAAAAATTTCAAATAAAAATATAGGCATGACAGAATTTTGTTGGTACTTTTCACGAAAACTGTTAATAAACATTTTTTATCATTCATTAACAAAATTCCGAATTAAATTACATTTTTACTATCCTCCTAAATCAGAACTGACATTTATATTAAATCTAAATAAGATATCACATTTGATCAGCTCAAGTAAATATTTCAAACAAAAGTTAGTTTGCCAAAGCATTTAAATTTGCCATATCCAAACATCCTCATAAGAATTAATATACTACAATTTGGTATGTAAGCGTAGCAAGAGACATTTAACTTTGCTACCTTTTAATGTGTCAGATACAGGAATGGGTAAAGTTGATCCTGCATGTTGCACTACACCATGAAGGCAAACAGACAATAGAATGGTGGTAATGCTCCACACATTGTTAACTTGGCAGTGGTCGGATACGACTCGGCAGCATCATCTCAATAAAATCTTCTTGGGCGATCAGCCGCATCAAATGGTTTGACATGGTTGATCGCCTGAGAAGATTTTATTGAGTTACGTTGCCGTGAAAACTTCAAATCATATATCGGCAGCATCATGTTCGCTGTATAGCAAATGAGTGGGCCCAAGAGCTGGTCAAGATATGGCATGTAAGTGCAGTACAGAACATTTAATTTCAGTACCATTTGCTGCACGCAATATTTGACTGAAGTTGAACAAGCATCCATTACTGTACAGCGTGACATTCAACTGTAGTCCACATGAAGAAATTATCTCATTCACTGAGCTACGAAAAAACATTTTTGTTGGTCTTTATTCTTTCCAGTATCCAGCACAGTAAAAAGTACTAACATGCCCCTTGGCACAGTTACATACCAAACTGTAGTGCTCAAAGGACGCTCGAATAAACTGGTATGAGGTTGTGAGCTGGTGCATATATTACAGATTTCCTTCAACCTGGCCTTCGGTGATATCACTCAGTAATCCATTCCTTCTCATAATATGTCCCAGCCAGTTAGCTTTCCTTCGTGTAATCGCCTGCAGAATGTTTCTTTGCTCGTTGACTCTCCTCAATAATTCTTCGTTGGTCACTCGATCTGTCCACCTGATCTTCTCTATTCTTCTCCAACACCACATTTCAAAACTCTCCAGGTATTTCTGTTCCTTCTTCCTGAGTGTCCAAGTCTCTGCTCCATACGTAACACTTCACTAGTTTCTTCTTCATTTCCAAGCCCAACTTGCTAGTGAGAAGTATCCTCTTCTTGACGAAAGCTGCCTTGGCCATGGCTATCCTTGCTTTTACTTCCTTGGTGCATAGGGCGTCCGTCGTGACTATGCTTCCCAAGTACTTGAAATGCTCCACATTCTCCAGCTGTTGGTTTCCAACTACAACGTTCAATGGTTCTGCTCTCTGTGCTATCCTCATTACCTTTGATTTTTCAATGTTGATTTCCATTCCATACTCTCTACCTGTTTCCACTAACTTGTCCATCATGTTCTGTAATTCCTCCTCTTCCTTCGCCAATATTACTAAGTCGTCTGCATACAGATGTAATACATTTAGATTAATATAACTCCCAGTTGTGATTAGCCAAGAACAGATTATTATATATGATCTGAAGAAATGTCACAAACAAGTAGGATTTGAGGTTCTAACAGCAGTGAATATAAAGATAGCCTTGCTGCCAACATCATCAGGGTCCTGATGATGGAGGTAGCAGGAACCTCTGAAATGATGATAAATTTCAACCAGACTACACAGTGCTACAATTTACAAGACATTTATCTTATGTCACAACAATATCAACACAGTTGCTAACAATCAGAACAAGATACATAAAATGGATATTGACATACATGGTCCATCTCATGAAAGAAGCAACAATGATCGGACTCCACCAAATAATTTTAATAGAGACAGAAGTTTCACCTTCAGACATGCATGGTATCCTGTAATAAACATCCTTAAGCAGTCCAGTGAAACACAAACAAAAAAGCAAAGCCAAGCAAAGCAAGTGCTTAACTCTGCCCACTCACAAGCTAATATTGGCTAAGGCCCAGCCATGAGTCTTGATTCTGGGCAGGTTATGTATCGGGGATATTCGAGATATCCCATCACGTCAGATTCCTAATGATAACACAGATGGTTTGACAATTTGACTTGCCTGGCACCCCAAGAGGATTTTACTGAATCAAGATTATTCTTGTGTTTATGCCCATTTATAATATATTAGGGTCAACAACATGGTAGCAGACCCATTTATCCTAAAAGAGTGAATATTTTGAGTATACATGTTGAAGAAATTTAGAAAACTTTTGTAAAGAAGATGGCAAAAGTGTTATTCAATGTGTTTTGTTATTGAATGACAAAATATGTATGAAGTGAAGCTTCCACGGCGAATGAAGTTGATGAAAGACTCCTGGGTTACAAGCCGCGTCAGGTGGCTGAACAGCGAATTCACAACACGGGAGTCTTTCATCAATGACAAAATATGTTAATCAACAAAGTTTATTAACAATTTTGTTGAACAGTATAACCCTTTGATGAATATTAATGCACCAGTATGTTCAGTTTCAGGGTGTTAGTGGAAAAAGTTAAATGACTAAAACCTAAAATAATCTGACACACATGATCAGATTTTACTGTGACAGGAAATAAATGATGTGGCAGTGATTCTAGGCCATTCATACATCATTCATCAAAAGGGCTGAACAGCATGGCAAACTGTAACTTTCATTTGAAACATTTTCTGAACTGGCGCAGATATAATATGGTGTAAAATCTTATTTCGATTCAATATGAATGCTAGTCTTAACTGGCTACAAAGGTACAAGTTCATCTTTGGCACTCAAATTAAAAAGAACTTTGCATGAGAAATTTAAAGAAAATATTACAAAAGTTTTGAAGCTGAAGAACAATAAATTCATACATGGCAAACCCATTCTTATTTACTTCCAAAATGAGAATCTTAATGAGACCACTGCATTTCTATATATGATTTGAAGCATCCGTGGCGATGTAACTCAATAAAATTTTCTTGGGTGATCAGCCGCATCAGATGGTTAAATGATGAAACTGGCGTTTCAGGGACCATCTATGTCCCCATCATCAGGGTTTCGTCGTTTAACCATCTGAAGCGGCTGATCACCCAAGAAAATTTTATTACATTTTTATATTTTTGTTGTACTGTACATTCCAACAGAATCTCAATGTAATAATTTTAAATAGCTATTGAGATTTCTCTGTAAGTAGTAAAGCCATGCTTACTGAGGTGGCAGTTGAGTAGGTGACTGTCGTAGTAGTGACAGGAACCGTAGTCACTATTACACCCGCTGATGATGTTGAAACATTAAGTGACAGAGAGATAGGTACAGCTAATCCAGGAATGGATACCTGCAAACAAATTGTCCCCATTTTCTGTTGTTACATAGCACCATTCAGACATAAGCTATATAAACTATGCATACTCTTGAGCATTTTCCTTTATCTATTAGTTAAACACACAATGTATATAGTGAAGATATCGCGGCAACTGAAATTGATGAAAGATTCTTGGGTTACAAACTGCGTCTGGTGGATGAACGGCGAATAGACCATGTCTTCTGCCAATGTTACGAGAACAATCTCTGCTCTCATCCTCAGGATTGCTGGGTAAAAAATCTATTCCTTTGTCACGCACTCGCTGATGGATGAGAGCAGAGATTTTTCTCGAAACATTGGCAGAAGATATGGTTTATTCACCGTTCAGCCATCCTACGCTGCTTGTAACCCGAGAATCTTTCATTACACACGACGTTTCAGAAACTCGCTCTGCTTGTGCCATAAGGTGACACTACAAAACCTAATCTATTGAGCCCATTGGACAAAGCTAATCTCAGTCCCCAGACATTACTTTTATCCAATGAACACTACGGATCAGGTCTTATAGTTTTTAATGATGACAGAAGAACAGCCAGCTTCTGGAACATGGATTTAAGTAACAGTCAAAGGAAAATTTCTAAGATTATACATCAGTTTAATAACATACCTTTATAAAAAAACCTTTAGACTAACAGACTAACATGAACATCACTAAAATACATGTATTTCATTGCATGTTTAGTGTTGTCATCTGACTGGTGTATTGTATCTTCTTGTAAAATGAAAAATAAATCCCATATTTTATAAATTTATTCTAATATACGGAGATAACAACGAGAATAATAATTAAGAAAACCTGAGGAAGATCATGGGGCAACTGGGAAGACATCATATTAGACTCAATTAGACATAGCCGTTTACTGTTGTAGCAGAACATCACATAACACTGTGTAGCATCAACTGACAGCGATGAAAATGTGAGGGACATGCCAAAAACAAAAGAAACATGATGGGCAGGCCATGAAGACTGTGATATTTTCCATGACGGACCATTTTCATAAATCCTTGTGTAAATTGTGCACTCAAATATTTTATCATGATAGTTTGGAAAAATGGCCCTAGCTGCACATTACCCACTTAAATGTTAAAGGGGCGACATGAAGCGGTGCTATGGACTGCATCAGGCCCGCAGGCCATACACTGATCACCCCTGTTCTATAAAAACAGGAAATTTCTTGACTAGCTGAATATTGAACTATAACAAAATGCTAATTAATGTTCCTTGATTTAAGATTTTCTCTAATTTAAGGTTCCATTAAAATGATCCAGAATTAATAATCTCACTGCTAATTATCATCAGCTGATTGTTCAAATCCACTGTTGTGCAGAAAAACCAAATGAGTGTTCTTTTGAAAGAAGACTGCATCTTGAATTACTTAGTTTTTCTTGTATATTAAACATTAACAGTTTTGATAAAACTGAAAACATATTTTCATCAGGCAGAATTGCTTTAAATAAATATTCTGCCTTATACATACTTCACAATGTACATAATAAAAGTGTAAAGGCATGAAGCATTGGTTATACGAGGTGCGATCGGAAAGTTTCAAGACTGTGTCAATAGAGGGCAAACCGGATGTAGTACGAGCTTCTGCCGCTAGGGGGTGCGGCCTACATTCATAGTGAATCAGTGTGCCAGCCGGCATCATCGAATTAGCATTTGTTTCTTAGTTACAGGCGTTTTGGTAGTGCATTACACCGACCCTCCTGCGATTTCGGAATGGCGGATTTTCATGAACAAAGAGTGTGCATCAAATTTTGCCAAAGACTCGCCAAAACGGCTACGGAAACCTATGAAATCCTAAAGCAAGCATTTGGGGAGTCCGCAATGGGTCGTGCACAAACGTTTGTGTGGCATTCACGTTTTAAAAATGACCGAACCTCTGTCGATGATG